CAGGTTACTACTGATTACTAGATAGAGGTAGAAAAAGTAATTGGATATGATCAGTGCATAATTTATAAATACATGGAGATACTACACTGAATACCATTATTATGTACAATTAATGTGTTAATAAAAAAGAGAAATGTAAGTGTGTTGGAGTAGAGAAGGAATAGTCATGGAAGATAATGAGTTCAATTGTAGATCACAACGAGGCAGAAATAGCCAAGGCTAGTGACAGAAGTCATTGTAAGGTTAAATGGCAGCAGCCATAAGGACAAAAGCTTCAAAAGGCTCCCTAGATACAGAGAAATAAGTTTTAAGAAAATAGACAGTTTGTTCAAAGATGGCAGATGAGTTTCATCTGTTGGATGAAAGATTCAGTGGCTGCCTTGATATAGAGGTAGAAAAGGCTATATGTAACTAGAGCATGTGTCATAATCATTTGCCAGTTTCTTGTCCTTGCACATAGTGTCATGGCTTGAACTAGCACCAACATTACTCTTTAAAATGAAGCAACTAAAAAAATAAATAAAATAGTGAAGCAGCTAAAGTCCATAGATGTTAAATCAATTGTCTAACTTTAGATGTTCAAAGACAGTTTTGAATAATTGTGCTATGTTAAGTTTGTAATTTTTTAAAATGTTCAAATGAAATAAAGATTAACTTTACTAACAAATAAATTCAGGCTGGAATGGAAGAACTGAAATGTAGCAGGTGTTTACAAATGATTCTTAAACATTCACAAGTGAAACGCCAATTATTATACTTGCTCTTTCTAAAATTAAGTACTCACAGTGTTTTACATTTTAAATACTTTAACTTTGAAGAATACTTCACATTATTTTATTTTCTAAGCGAGGACTATGAAGAAGAGATTTTTTTTGGCCTACAGTGATAAAAATAATCACATTTAGTTTAAAAAGGCTAAATTAATGAAATTGCATTAATTAGAGATCATAAAGCCTAGAGTTGCTGGCTAAGGCTTTAAGGCTGTCAGAACTCTAGGAAATGCTGTTACTCTGTATACTTCAGGCAAGAGTAAGCTAGTTAATTAAAGGTTCAGTTTTATTAGCGTCTGCAAGCTTCACTCTGATACTGGTTGTAGAATTTATTCTACTGCTTAGTGTATATATGTGTTTTGATTCCTAAGAGAAAAATAAGCTTATGATAAGCTCTAAGAAAATTAGACAAATAGTATTATAATCCCTTATTTTGGTATGACATTATTATTTTAAAATAACTTTAAAAATATCTCCAGGATATCTCGTGGATATTCTCTTGGAGAAGGTAAACTGGCTAACTGGGAAATCTAATCTTATTTTTTATCTTCTTAAGAAAGCTAAAGTTGTTTCTACTGAGCTAGTACTGTAGTGAGTTCTCAAAACTGGAATAAAAGTCTGACAGTTTAGCTACTAACTAAGCATGTAAAATAGCAACTACTTAACAGGCAGGCAATAATCTTAAAAGTTATCCTAATTAATGAATGCTCAACTTAATCTTAAATGCATTATATGACAGAAGACAGTATCGCCATTTTACCTAATGCTAAAATTAAAAGAAACAATTGATTAAAATATTAACATATATATTGCACACTTATTTACTTAGGAAGACTTTTATGAGGACTCCAAGCCATATCTAGGACCTCTGTAATAAATTATGACAGTGTAAGTATCTTTGAATGGAAGAGACAGCCTTTAGTACGAGAACAAATGTCCATGTAACATTCATTCATTCATTCATTCATTTGGTACCGGGGATCAACTTGGGACCTTGCGCTTGTGAGGCAGGCGGTGGCGCCACTGAGCTAAATCCCGGCCTGACTCGTGTATTTGTATTTCCTTTAACTGCATGTGTCTATCTTTGCACGATCATTCTATTAATTTTAAGTCACTCACATGCTAATGAGACAGCAATTCTTTCATAGTTCTTGATTTTCACAGCCGGAACAAAATGTTGCATTAAATAAAACTAACATTATCAGTAATTTGAGGGAAAAGTTTCTTATAAACTTTCTTTCTAGAGGAATAAACAACAGAGGGAACTTTGCTGTGCACTTAGTGAGAGCCAGGTAATACCCAACACCGAATCTTATGCAAATACTACTGATGGCTGTTTCACCCTAAATGGTGTATATTCTTTACCCTATACGATATATGGTCCAAAATTCAGAAATTTTACTCATATCCATTTTTACTTCTTTCCTAAAAACCTCACCTAATACAGTATTTTAATCTTTGTCATCCACTTGAATCTCAAGCAAAAGAGTCAGAATTACAAGTTGCTCAGTTGTATTTTTCTATACCACACATCAGAAAAAGAATACACAATTTAAAGCTATCTCTTGACCAAAGGCTCAATTCATAGGCAGGTGGGAAGATGAAGCTAACTTTGTCATATGAGTCATCTCTTCTGTTCAGGCATGGTATAGATGGACATGGTATATATGTGAAATACCGAAAGATCAGATGTTTTAAAGTGTGTCAAGAATCAAATGAGCAGATGAGGGGCAGCAGCTGAGGATGGGCTGATTCTCAGGGACCCGACAAAGTAAGCCACTATCTTTCCTGTACAGGTGTAGAGAATATGTTAGCCTATATTGTCCACATAAGTGATATAATTTGTGTATTATATTCATTGCCTTTGGTAGATTCAATTATTTTATTTCACTTAGCTGTTCTTCATTAAATGTAGCAGGTAAAAAAACAGTATGTAAAAGAATATTTTAAACTTATGACTTGTCTCCCAACTAAGGTCTATAAAAGGAGTATTTTCAGCCAATTTTGTCTTTTTCAGCTGTGTAAGAGGCAGGATCTACAGCCTTCAAAATAGGTTAGCAAAACCTTCACGGTACTAGTGTGTTTAGGTTGTTTATTGAGTTCGCAGGACATTGTTGCTGACTTGACTCTCCTTTTTCTCTGGAAAAATGTCAGTATTGCATAATACTTTAAGAGCCACTGGACTATGTGTCATTAAACTGTAAAATCCATGTGATCTAGATCGTGGAGTAGTTCATTTTGAGTCCTTCACAGCACTGGTACAGTGTTTGAAAATCTGTGAAATTAGTAAACATCATATATGTTGGATATATAGGTAAACAAGAAGCAGAAGGGCAGGCAGAATCTTTGTGGAATAGTAGTCCTACTGCTCATCATGTTCATGTAGTCTTCTGGTAACAACACGAATCACAGACAGAACAGGGGCATATAACCATGATAGTTCTTCGCGTGGTCTTATGACAAATGTGCCTATAGAAGAGTTTCCCTTCAGTTTCCCTTGATGGATGTGTACCAAGAAGAGATTACAAGTGTGCTGAAAAACTTGACTTCAGCCTTTATTTTGGCAGAGAAGGGGTGAACACAACAGCCCCAGCCATTTATCTCAATAGGATATACAGTATTCTCATTTTTGGTGAATGAAAAAATGTTAGGAAGCATGAGTTTGGGATACTGGGATCACAGTCGTCGTGGAAAAGACACTGAAAAGTGAAGAAGTAAAAGTGAAAATACAAGATGACTATCACAGTGAAATTCCCAATACTACATTCTTTCTTTGGTACCTTTTTTCCAAGTGTCCATTGGTTGCTTAAAATATTCCACTAAAGAAATCCCTCCCTCTCTTTCCCCTAATAATAGTCTTTATTTCTAAAACACGTTCACTGCTTGGAAACCCTTGAATAAAAATTTTAAAAATTATGGAAGGTCACTTTGAAGAGAATAAGTAAAATGTATTCGGAAGATAAAAATAAAGTAAACCATTTGAGATATGAGAGTTGAGGGCAGACAAATCAGGAAAGAGTCATAATTTACACACGGATCATTGTGAGGTTAGAAAACAGTTGAACAAATGAACTTTCCGTTATGACTTCATGAGATAGTTCAAGTGTCTCAGCATGTACTGTGATTGTCTCATAGCTTCTGCATGAATAGTCAGTAAGACCTATGTTAATTAATAAGAGGCAGAAGTATTTCTCCTTTCTCTTCTAACACAAAGCTGCCTAAACTTTTCTATGATTCATACAGTCTAATAAACTCATTTGACTTGATGTATTTATTGAATGCAGGCTACAAACAACTAAATGACACTGGGTACAAATCCTCTATTAGCATTTTGGTCTTATTTTTAATCTCATTTAGGCTAAAATATCCAGTAGGGTTATTTATAGTCTGTAAATCTGATTCCAGGGAGGAAAACAGTTTTTCAGAAAGAAATAATAATGAAGAATGCTTTACTCTCTTTAATTTTCACTTAAAACACAGGACATGAAATGAGAGTTGCCATTGGTATTTCAAAGTGGAAATTTGGGTTTACTCCCCAGTAACCCTTGCCTCACCTAAAAGTATTTAACATTTAAATGACAACTTGAAGAGAAAAAGATTTTTCTCATTTAATACCGTGTGCATTATTATTAGGTAATAATGAATATAATGTCGATGATTTACAATTTAATAAACTTACTCATTTTTAACCTTCATTCTATTTCTTACTGTTCTTATTTTGTTATATTTTTCCTTGCTTTTCAAGTCTGTTATAAATAGAAAAATAATTTATTTAACAATCTGCACAATTACAATTCCCCCAAAGAATGGAACTTGGGTTGGTAATCAGAAAAATCAAGTCTATATGAGATAGTTATGCAGATAAAAATTATAAATATGATTTGTTATATTTTATTTATTCATTTTTTGGAGACAAAGTCTTGCTACATAGTCCCTGCTTGCCTTCAACCTGCTATGTAACCCAGGCTGGCCTCAAATTCACAATCCTGCTTCAGCCTCCCAAATGCTGGGATTATAGGTGCAAATCACCACACCTAGTGAAGTATAATTTTAAATTAAAAATGATTTATCTTATTTCAATTAATATAAGGAGTTCATCTAATAAATACAAAAGAAAAACTAAACATATCTAAGCATAATTCTAGAAAGTATGGAGCTATTTTTGAGTTCTTATTATTATGAAGTATTATTTTTTTTAGTTCAATGTTCTTTTCCCATTTTATTACTTACTCTTTGTCCTTTAGGACCTGGACTCCCAGGTGGTCCTCTGGCCCCCACATGACCCTACATGTTGCAAATTAAAAAATCGGTTAGGGAATTCATAGGAAAGTTATCAGAATAGTAATGAAAAACCTTCATATAACAGAAAATTTGCCTTAGAAATTTTAAAAATAAAATTGATTAACTGCCTTAAAATATTAATTATTAAATAGCATGCTTTAATCCACAAATATTCTTATCTTGACATATTCAATTATTTGGAAAAAAAAGTCATTTGGTATGAACAAAGAACATAAAGCTTTTCATATTCACTAACCAAGGAACTTTAGGGAGGGACATACACGGAGTGACAGGGTGAGGAGACACTACTAACCAGTTAGACCAGTGCAATCCATCTGGCCCATTGAGAAGCAATACTTATCACTGTAAGATTGCTTTACCATTAATCTAGGCAATTATGATAATCCTGTCAGATGAAAATAGATTTCTGTTCTGAAACTATGAAAAATAAAAAATGTTGCAAATTAACATGTTACAAGAAATAGCTTGTAGTAGAACTTAAATTCTATTTATCATCAATTACAATGAATTATTTTTATACTTCATCTTCAGTAAAGGCTTAATTAGAAAATGAAGTTTATTTATCATTAAATATTAGGTAGATAAAAATATACTGAACCCAAGGGCCAGGGGATATCTCAGTGGTGCCATCCCCAGTCCAAAAAAAGAGAAAAAATATACTGAACCTTAGGAACTTCAGATTTATTTATTTTTTATGTGAGTAACAAGGCTGGCAACTGTGCTCCAGACTAATCTCTGTAATTTTTTAAATTCATTACGTTTATTGGTACATTTTAGGTATACATTGTGATCACATTCATCATTGGGATTTTGTACCTGTACATGCTATATCTTGGTTCTTGTTTTTTCCCCATTTCCCTTCCCTCCTTTCCACTCAGGTACATTTCCTATGAACTTTAACTGGTTGAGAATAATTACAAAATTCTAAGAAAAAATGCCTAAATTTATGCTTGTGATTTGTTTATCAAATATTTGGCCTCAATTTTAGTCTTGATCACTGATCCTGTTTTCTTATCTGTGATTTAGTGTAAAGTTTCAATATTTTCCAATTTAGTTAACAAAACTGAAATTGACTAATATACCAAGTGTGAGGAAATTCAAGATACCATGACATATTCCAGATGATTTTATATAGTCTGGGAGAGAAACAGTCACCACTACTTTACACATGACTTGTTTTCAATGAAATAAAGATAGCACAAAAGTGAAGAATTTAAAGTGAAACAGACAATTGAGAAGGGATCATAAAGTATATTCTGTACTCACAGGTAATCCCAATAGTCCCACAGGTCCTGGAACCCCAGGAAGACCTGGATATCCCTATGATTTAAGTCCAAGAGAAAGACATAAAGCCAATTATTTGCACTGAAGACAAACTAGTGAATTATAAATAGTAACTAAAAAGATAATTTACTAAGATCTGCCTCTTCTATCCAAGATACAAGAGGCCATAGGAAATATTCTGCAGAAAGACTATGAAAATAAAAAAATTATAGAACCATTTATTCGAAGTTCTTTGCCTTCAATAAAATTTGTGAGGTAGAGTCACTGTTTATTAAAAAAAAGACCATTCACTTCATCTTTCTGCAGATTATCTTATTCACAGGTGTATGTCACAGATTATGAAATCATACACTTTTCAAAGAGGCGAAGGGATTCCACAAATAAGAAAAATGAATGTGCTCAAATGCTCTAGGCTGTCAAACTGTAGAAGGACCACACACTCTTTAGTATTAATGTTAGTTCTGAGAATACCTTAAATTTGATTTGTTCTATGTGTATGTTAAGTTTACAAGCTTACAGAAACAGGTGATAGCTAAAAAAACTTATATAGCTTTCTTGATAAATGTAAGAATTAAAACTGAGCAATAACAGGTAAAATGAATTTGTAGACAGTATTTAGCTCTATCCAACATCCCCTTTGTTTTGTGATTCATGTTTGTGACTTTACTGATAATAACCATTCATTTTAGTTTCTCACACTTAGAAACTATATAATAAACCAAAATAGGGAAGCTAAATAAAAAAAAATGTCAGCTGTTACTATCTCAAAGAGCTAAGAGAATGATTTCTGGGTTCTAAACATTGAAGTGCCAAAGATTAACGTATGATCACAAACTCTTGAAGAGTGATGATGATATATGTCACATAAACTACAAGTGGTACGTAAGTGGATTATAATTGAATTTTCTTTTTAATTCATTATAGCTCATTTACTGTGGTTTGATCCTTCTAAAACTACACAATCATTTGATCAAGTCATCTCATTTGTATCTTTTTGGTACCTTGGTGCCATGTAATATTTCTAGTTAAAACAAAATGTTAAAGGAAATTAATTATGAAATAGCTTTATTTTACTTATTTAAATTCTATTTGAGGGAATTCTATCTATAAAATATCTTAATTTTATTATGTGCTTTGGAAACATTTTTCAAATCACTGAGCTCTTACCATAATACCCTTCTCTCCCTGCAGACCCAGGGACCCTGGACTTCCACGATCTCCCTTTTAAAACAATAAAGAAAAGAAGGTAACATTGAATCGTGTTAATGAGTAACGATTGAGCTAAAGCTAGAAAGGAAAATTGTTAGAATCACTCCATATGTACATATCTTGTCCTAATTTTTCAATGATTTTTTAAATTTTGAAAATTTGCCTTTTTACTCTAAAATTGCGACTTTTTAGTATATGTGCTGCCGCAGGGAGCACTAAAATTGCGACTTTTAATATAATAAAATTCTCTTAAAGACATCTTCAAGGAAAAATGCTAAATGTCTTATTAAAATTAAGAAAATATAAATCATGGATAAACAAGACATAATATTAAGCAAGTACCATGTGGAAGATTTTTTTTAGGTATAAATGCTTACAGTTTTATGCAATATACAAAGTTTGAGAATAAAGTATCAAAGCATACTGAAAATTAGCTAATCTATATAGCCACTGAACAAATTTATTTCTATAGCCTATCTACTGTAAATAAGCACCACAGAAATAATTCTGGCAGATTATGACAATTAAATCTGCTTTAGCAGATGAAAAAGATTAAACTGATTCACATTAAAGTTCCCAGGATTGTAGAAGAGTTAACCCAGTGCAGAATTAAGTCTACATGAAAAAATATAAAACAATCTAACTTTTTTTTTTTTTTTTTTTGGTACTGGGGATGGAACTTGGGACCTTGCACTTGCGAGGCAGTTGGTGTAACCACAGAGCTAAATCCCCAGCCCCTAACATTTTTGATAATAAAAAATACAAATATATTAACCACATTATACTAAATGAAAGGAGAGAGATTTTAAAAACAGTTTACTCTCTAGCAATTGCAAACATGTTACAGGATAAACAGAGATCAATTAGAGGATAAATGAATTTTAAACTGTGGTACAGTACTTAGATTCTCGCAGGAAGGGAAGAAATCAGGAGGGATTAGAAAAATTTAAAGAGACTTCATAGAGGAGATGGGAACTCAGCTGAGTCCAACAGTTTGGTTTTGAATAGAGGGAAAAGGAGAAGATACTGTAGAAAAAGAAAACAGTAAAGATGGGAAAATAGAAATAAGAATACATTAGAAAGGGCAGCAGTAAATGTAAGTTAACAATATTCTCCTCTTTCAAAATTGATTCCTGAGGGTGGTTTGCTATCATACAGCAGATTTAAATAATACTTTTTTGGTCACACTCCTAGACTATCAGTTTCTTTTTTTCTTCTCATACATATTTTTAACCAAAAGGATATTCTGTCTCTTCAAAATTAGAAACAAAGCTGTTATCTGTATTTCAATGTATTTAAGAGTTTCAATAGTGGTAATGAGATAGAGTTATGCTTTCCAATTAGCATAAAGTACACTATGAAAGAATAATATAGAAAAAACTTCAAGAGCACAATCCCTTTTCCAACCAATTTAAATGATAAGGTAGTTACCTTTTATTTGTTTTATTTTATTTTATTTTTTGGAGGCACAGTCTCACTATGTAGTTGAGACTGACCTGGAGCTCACTATGTAGCCCAGGCTGGTCTCAAACTCACAGTGATCCTCCTGCCTCAGCCTCCCAAGTGCTGGGATTATAGGCGTGCACCACCATGCCTGGCCATGTTTTATTTGTATTTAAAGAACTGAATTTAGGCTAGAATTCTTACTGTAAAACAAAGCAATGAAGTACCTTTTCTCCAATGCTTCCAGTTATCCCAACTTCTCCAAGTGAGCCAATGGGTCCCTTTTTGGAAAAAAAAAATGTAATACATGAATATTACATTCCTGTTGTAGCATGCAGGTCTTAAATCATCTGTAATCATTACTTTTCTGACTCATCCTAAATTTTATTTTGAGGTATAATTCCTCCTAGCAAAGGTACATGACATTTGACTGTATATGAGAATTCCTTTATTCATTCAGCCAACAAATACAGTCCATACATACACACACATCTAATATATGGCAGGTACTATGCTGGGAAGCAACGAGTTTCAAATTCAAACATATTCTCTGCCTTGTGAACTGATAATCTACGGAAGGTCATAAAAAGCCTTTCAGTTTTCATATCTGTTTGATGTAGATATATTCATTTAAGAAGTCATGTTTGTAATTTCCTTCTTTGAAAGCCCCTCAATGCATAAGTGTAGGAAAAAAATAAAGCTCTAGATGGCTACATACAGTTCAGGCTGTGGAGGGGCAATTTCTGGAGGACATTAAGTCTACATCAGCAGAATGCCTGCACAGGCTCACCTAGCGGTCTCTGTGCAAATAACATACAGTAAAAGGAAGGTCCATACTGGTGCATACACATTATTGTGTTTTGTTTGTTTTTTGGTACTGGGGATTGAACTTGCGACCTTGAACTTGCGAGGCAGCTGGTGGCACCACTGAGCTAAATCCCCAGCCCATTTATTGTGTATTTTTATTATAAATTCAGACTGCCAGGAAGGCTGGCTGACTGAGGGGTCCTGACTGAGCATGACTGCTGAAATAGTATTTAGGAGGCTGCAAGGGATACTTAAGCAGCTAAAAATGGGAGGGATGCAAGTGTGTGCAATTAAATGAAGAAATGGACTATGGCTAAGTGGCTGGGCATCTGGAGAGATGATGTGAGCAGAGATGAGCTGGTTAGCAGCAAAGTAAAGATGTCTACCAGGTCTACTTCTCTGTATCTTTCCTTTGGGCTGCTTGTTTCTCAAGTGAACCTTCCCACTCTGAACTGGTGACAACAGAACAATGAGAGATTAGAATATGCCCATTCATTGACTTATTCATTTGCTCAATAAATATTTGGTGCCTACTCTGCCCGACACTTGTGCTGGTTGCAGAGACTCCATTGCTGAACAAGACAGATCAAAATCCTGACCTGATGAGTGAAAAAGTCTTGAAACAGGGACAAACGACTAAATTTAAAATTATAAATTGTGACAGAAATTAATAAAAGAAATAACTGTGATGCAGAGGTCGAAAATAAAAGATACATTTTAGAAAATATGGTCAGGGAAGGCCTGAAGCCAGCACTTAATTTGTAATTCAAAGAATAAAAAGAGACCAGCCAGCCTAATGCGAAAGAATGTGATCAGTAACACTTTCAGAGTGAAGAAGACTCAGGTTTATCTTCCTGTGTCTTTACAAATTATCTATTATTCCTACGTTAGGCAGCATAGAAAGCAAAAAGAATTAACATAGAACGAATTCTAAGAGGATAATCTTTTTCCTGCTTGATTTAAATAAGGAAATTACCTTTCACTTATATTTAAAGACATATTTAAAGACATATCAACATTTTCTCCTTCAATAGACACCAAGTAAGATTTTCATATAATATTTATTTCCATGTGTAAACCACTGAATCATGCAAAAATGGCTTGCTATATAGAATCTAGCTGAAGTTAATGCTTGGGCATGATTTTATCCATCCATATCCATACCAATATCAAATGATCCTGGGGACAAAAACATTAAACATTTTATATATGCCTGATTTAATCCTCATAGTCACCATATTTGGTAGTATTATCAAGATTCTCTATTGCTAGATGAGGTAGATTAAACATATAGTAAAAATGGGTTTAAGTGGTTACTGAACATTGGAAATGTGGTTAGCCAAATTGCATGTACAAAGACCCATCAGATTTTGAAGATTACTACAGAAAGAATGCAAAATATCTGAGTAAAAACTTTATATTGATTACATATTATAATGTTCTAGATATACTGGTTTAAATTAAACATTATTAAAATCATTTTCACCTCTTTTAAAAGGATCACTAGAAAATTATATATTGGGCTTGAATTTGTGACTTGCTTTGTATTTCTGTTGGACAGTGCTGATCTATACTCTTAAATACTATGCTAATATTATTGCTTATATCCAGTTGGAAGTGATTCAATATTTTATTATTGTGGTTTTTCAATTTAAGAAATTTAACATCTTCACTTTGAGGCAATTAATAATCAACCCTATGCTCAATGATCCTACCTGGATCAGATAGAATAGTGAAATGGCCTTTTGAAGACTTATAATACTAGCTATGTGGCAAGATCGTGTAGGGCTGGAGCGAAGTTAAGAATCAGCAGCATTCATTATATGGTATTGTTTTTCCCACACTGAGGATGACCTGAATTCAGCAATCAAGGCAGAAACATGGGAGTATTAATATTACTCCTCTTGACCCACCAACAAAATTTATGCTTCTTGTTCTGGTGACTTTGTGCTCTGCAAACTAAAGGACTTAGTTCCAGGGGGAAGAATGCTTCTAGTGGGAGACACAATAAGTACACTGAACTGGAAGTTAAGACCACCATGAAGCCACTCTAGGCACCTTATGCCCTGAATCACCAGGTAGGACAAAAAAGGAATTACTGTATTAAAGTGATTGATCCTAACTCCCATGTGGGAATTGGACTGATACTTCACAGTGGAGAAAAGGAAATGTATGCCTGGAACACAGACAACTCCTTAGAGTATCTCTTAGCATTGTCATGCTCTGTAATTAAACTCCATGGCAAATTTTAACAACTCAATTCTGCAGAACTACTAATGACTCCAACTCTTCAGGAATGAAGTTTTGTGTATTCCATGTCTTAGTCTATTCAGTCTACTACAACCAAAATACTGTACTATAGCCCGGGTGGCTATAATAATAAATACTTATTTTTGCCATTTCTGGAAGACTTGAAAATTCAAGGTCAAGGAACTATCAGATTCAGTGTATGGTGAGGGTCTCTTTCCTGGTTCATAGACTGTGAAGTCCTCATGATCTAATCACCTCCCAAAGGCCTGCCCCTAATGCCATCACATTGGTGATTAGGATGTCAACATATGAATTTTAGGGAAGATAAAACATTTATTCCATAATAATTTCAACAGGTATATTATCCAATCTGCTGAGGTGCTTGGTGAAGCCAAAGGGAATCCAGAATGAGTGATGGAAGAAGGTAGTTTAAAATATCCATTAGGTCCATATGGCCAGTTTAGAAATGAAGACTGTAATTGTCATGAGTATTTACACATTATTGTGTTATGAATATGTGTATGTGTAGCAAATACCTTTTTCTTTCCTCTTGTTCATCATATAACAAAAGATGTACTGACATTTTATCTTATGGTTTAATTATTGTTAAGTTTATTTCACAGTTAAGTTATGGACATGGTTAGTAAATTCCATTGAAGGACTTACCACCTCTTCTGGAGGAAGGGTTAGTAAGTTTTTGGTTGTAGGCATGTAGAGTGAGCTTGTGTGATGTGTGGTTTGTTCCCTATTTACTCACTAATGAAAAGAAATGAACTTAAGTGCTAAGATTTTTAAATGAGAATTTTATATAGAAAATTTTATCTATATCAATCATGTATCAATCAAGATTTAAGATTCCTAGTATCAGATGATCTTGTAGCCATAGTTTGTAGAATTATAACTTTAACTTGAAGATTAAATATGGTTTAAGGAAATGCATCAAATTGATGAAGAGTAGACTTGTGCTGGTGAATATCATGTGTCAAAGTGAATGACACCGAGTGCCCAGATATTTGCTTATAAGTTATGTATGGGTATGTAGTGTTTGTGGATGAGATTAGCATTTCACTAGGTAGATGAATTAAAGCAGATGCCTTCCTCAATGTGGAATGACATCAAACAGTTTGTTGAGGACCTTAGGAGGACAAAAATGCAAAGGTAAGGAGAATTATTTTCTGTATAAATGTTTAAGCTGGGACATCAGTCTTTTGTCCTCAGCCTAAGACTTACACAACTGGTGCTCCTTCTTCTCAGGCCCTGGAACTCAGAATGGAACTACAAGGTCTCCAGATCTCAGTATTTTGGATTTAGATAGAAATTATACCATCAGTTCTGCTAGTTGCCAGCTTTGAGGACTTGACCTGGAATTACACCACTAGCTATCCTAGGTCTCCAGTTTGCAGATGGCCCATTGTGGGACATCTCAGCCTCCATGATCATGTGAACTAATTCCTTATAAGAAATCTGCATATCTGTATCTGTGCCCCATTTTTCTGTTTTTTTCTAGAAAACCGCGATGAGTACATCAATCAAATTTGAGCAGGAACAATGAAACAGAACTATCTGTTGTGAGACAGTAAACAAAATAATAGAACCTGAACACAGACTAGTTTTGATGCAGAAAATCAGAAAAGTAAAAACTGCTTCTAACACATGTGATCTAGGTGAGTAGATGAAATGAGCCAGTACTATGAGTTGGTTTTGTCTCCCAAGGGTTCCTGTGTTAGAAGCCTGGTTCCTACATGTCACTTTCAAGAGGTATTATGAACCTCAAAAGAGGTAGAACCTAGTAGTTCTTAGGTCACTGGGAACACTTCTTTCTGAAGAGATTAAGGTAATTTTCATGGGATCCAGAGCTAATTTTTGTGAGAGTGAGTTATTGTAAGATCAAGCCAGACCCCCAGGCCACTCTCTGGTGTCCTGTCTGGTTCTGTCATCTCTCCCTGTTGTATGTACCCCCGTCATGATGATGCTGTTTGCAAAGAGGCCTTCAAAAGAATGCTGGTGTTATACTCTAGAAACTCCAGAACTGGAGCTAAATAAATCCTTTTTGTTTACAATGTAACCAAGCCCCAGTTATTTCGTTGTCATAAGAGAAAATGGACCAGTACAGCCTGTGTCCCATTCCACAACTGTATCCCATATATGCCAGACCAGTATCATCTATGAAGATACTGCACTTTAAAAGAAATGTAATTAGATGCTGGGATAAAAAAGGAATTTT